ATCAATGCATATTAAAACAGAATTGAATTTAGATCAATATCACCTCATCTACATGTTGATATCAAAGTAATATTTATTTATCATATGACTAATATGAATTTCTGTATAGCCTGGAAATTCTATTTTCCTTTCCTCTTAAAAAATTGCACACTATAATCACTGGAAAAAAATTGTACAGGCAGGACAAAAATTACTTTGATTGTTAAACCAAATCATTCTAAATAGATTAGAATTTAGGTGAATGTAAAGTTTAAGTTTCAAGTTAAATGTAAACTATAAATACTCAAGTGTTTCAAAAGATGCTTTTTCTCTCTCTTTTTTTTCATTCAAACTTTCTTTATAATCTTTTTAAGATATTCCCATCTTATTCATTTTCACATATTTTTCTTTTTTTTTAAATATATTTTTCCAATTTGCTTTCTTGTTTCCACTATCGGTATTTGATACCTTCTCCCTTTTTTCCATTCTTAATGAATAGCTTCACTAATTCCTCAAATCGACATGTGTCTAGTCCATTTCCTTTCCAATTTCACCACCATCCGTCTGTCATTTAGTATTTGATTACTTGTTCCTATTTCTCTTTCATTTCTTCACAAATACATACCTTCACTCATTCCTCAACTTGACATGTACCATCTTGAGAAAACAAAAACCCATGCTGAAGTTGTTTCAGTTGCATCTGAAACAATTACTAAGCAATTAGAACTCAAAATCCACCAGGAAAAAAAAAAACCAAAAAACAATACAACTTGTCATTTTCTTGTTATTTATATTTTTGGATATGTCAGTAATTGTCAGAGGTCAGAAAAGAGATTAGTTTGACAAAGGATTTCGATAAGAAAAGGATTTAGAGTTTATGCAACCAGTGTTATGATAGAATGCATAAGATATATTTCAATGCTTTCAATATAGTATGTATTTTCTGGCCCTTGTTTATATTCTATTTATCACCGGCAAACTCCAGTAAAAGATCAATATAAAAAAGGTTATAAAAAGAATAGTCATCTAAAAAGTTAAAATCAGAATTGAAACAAAATTAGAGTTAATAGTTCAGATAATTCATTGTTTCATTCTCATCTAAATATTAATATGTAAAATGTGCTAGGATATTCGAAACGAAAAATATCTCCCAAGTACCTTCCAAAAGACAATAAAAGTAAATGGTTGAAATACTTTTGAATTGGTGCATTCTTCCTTCTCCTACACCTCGCTTGTCTTCTCTTCTCTTCTCTCCTCTCCTCTCCTCTCCTCTCCTCTTTTTTTCATTAATTTTTATTGTTTTTATAACATATACACCAAAACTGCCTCTCCAAATCATAATTAAGATTCGCGCTGGAAGATGACATAACAAACGTCTACAACAGCGCCGAGTAAAAAATATTTAATTTAAACCATTCCATTTCGATTTTGACCTGATTATATTGAAATATTTAGATTCAAAAACAAAAAAAACTTGAATATTAAATACGATACAGAATAATTAATTACAGAAATTTAAATTTGAAATGAATTGCTAAAATCCCACATGTGAACCGCAATATTCCCACAATACCAGGTACTAACCATAGAAAAGATCAGATTTGGAAACTTTTTTTGAAAAGTTTTATCATTGATTTGTTCCGAAATTAATTTGTTCAAATCCTTTGACCAACCGTCTTAGAAATTTCATCCAAAAACTGAAGATTTATGCTCTTGAATTGTTTTCTTTTGTTCACTTTCAGCGCCAGCGTCTAGCTCAACATTAGCATACGTACTTCGCTTATAGCCTCACTGAGTTCAACATGAATAACACAAATAGATTCAACTCATGTTTTTGTATACTTTTCACGCTAAATAACCTTATAGCTTCTTCGAGCGAGTACTATTCTCGCTTGTGATAAATCCCAAACTGTCAAGACTTCTTTAAAAAGCTCATCATCATATTATCATCCTATTTGCACCTTTAGTCTTTATCATTAATCATTTAACTAAATATGACATCCAAGGGCTGCAGCTCTCTTTTAGAACGCGTCTACTTCGTTGTTTGTTGTTTTGAGATTTTTGGTCTTTAAGGGTTTATCGGCCGAATATCCCCATAATAATAATCCGAGTTTAATTATTTATATTACGGAAAGGAACTGTTCACTTATTTCTTCGCTAAGGTCTTTTTAGCTTGTGGGAATTCTAAATCTTAAGACGCCGGTTCTGTGTGATGAAAATCATCGTCCCAATACTACTCAAAGCTGTCGAACTTGTGTAATGAGCTTTTTATTCCAAAAGTCGGACTACCTATGACAAAAAAGAGCTAGTAAAGTAAACCCCCATAACTTCAATCACCTTTGAGTTTATTTTCACTTAAGAAATGAAGAATAAAAAGGAAAACATATCGAATCATGCTGGGGGAAAAAAGAAAACATTTTACATTCGAGTTTCGATTGAATGCATTTTATATTTTTCATGCTAATGATTAGCTAATTCTTTATTTTAACTGGCAGTCTAGCTAAACCAAATAACATACTGGCCGTTTTCCCCACTGTTCTGTCTTTATTCAATGCTGTTGTTCAACGTGAAATTATAGTTACTTCACGCAAATAAATTGATGTTCTAAAACGTGTTTTCTACCTATACACAGTCTTTCATTTTCAGCGTTTCCGAGATGCAAATTTACAATCTTTTTCTGTTTATTGACTTTCGACGCCGGTTCAATCTTCCGTGTTTTTAATTCAAAAAAAAAACCATGAAGTTTTATCAGCCATTTTGGAAATTGTACGAAAAACATCTATAACACGTTAACAATTTCCCCGCTTACTTCGCGGAATAAAACTAACTAGCTAGCTGTAGTTGGGCCTAAGGTACGTCTTTGTGTGTCTCAAAAAACGAAGTAATATCTATTTGAATTGAAAGCGCCAGTTCAGTAACCAGACTTAACTGAGGCGGTGGACATTTTTCAAAAACGCCAAAATTTCAAGAGTTAGGCTGTGTGTGAGACAGCTTTTCAAAATCTGATACTGATATACACAGCATATATAGCTTATCCATTTATCCAGCCAGTCATCACCGGCAAGGTATAATTAATCAATCCCTAAAAAACACATAATCATTAAAGTGGTTCCACTTTGTTTCCTCGTTTTCAGGGTCATAGCCTGCGCCCCCAGCAGAGCTAGTTAGCAGTCGAAAACCATGCTCGTTTAGCAGATCAAACGCCTTTTCCAAGTAGCTGTGTTTCAAATAGAAACGATTTGTGTAGCGTTGGTCGTCGCGATCCGGGTCTCTGGTTTCATTAAGAGAATCTCCAAAAACTTCCCTTCCCAGAGCAACGTTTCCACAGACTAGAATTCTTTGGAGTTTCCTAAACTTGACGTCTGCCACCCCATCTCTTCCAAACGCATACGTTCCACGCACTCCTATAGACAGATAACCCCCGGGTCGAGCTTTGTCTTTGCCATTTTTTGGAGTATCACTTTCACGCTGAATAGCGCGAACCATTCCCTTGAGTTTAAAGTGTTCTGCCTCCATCAACAGTCGTTCTCGTTCGTTAAATCCTTCAGGAAGAGCCAGTTTACAGTTTCGTAGGTAGTCCAGAATATAACGAAATAGTACGCCGTCCCGGTCGACAAAAAAGCGACCTCTGGAGTCTCGAGGGACTTTCTGCCTACCGCTAAACATTGCACTCAACAACGAGTCTGAATCTTTCAGCAGCGTCGGCAAAGACGTTGTATATAGTTGGCCTCCAACGTTCAACTCAACTACGGCCGGTAGATTCTGGTCATTGACTGTTCCCTTAGGAGACTGCATATCCATAGGGATATATTTAAGCGGCGATAGGACGTTCCCACTAGTGCTAAATACTTGATGGTCTGTAAGGTTTCGCTGTCCTACTGAACCACGAGAAAGATAAACAGATTAAAACTCAAACCGCGCAGCCGCAAATGGCACTTCCGAGTAGAAATTATGGAATATTTTACTTTGAATTGACGCCTTGAACACCTGGTTTTCTGAATCTTCTCGTCATCCACAGTCTGTTGCTCGCTTTTTGAAAGATTATTCAGCGCTTTTTCATTCTCGATAAACAACTAAGGAATCGCTAAAAATCACAATCATCTCATCGTAGAATTTTTTCGTCGCTGTATGAAATTTTCTATTTCGGTATCATTTCTTATTTCATTTTTGGCTTTCGGATTTATCCACTTCCCAGTGAGCTCGCCTGAAGCCTTCTTTATTCATATTAATTCAAATAATATGAGAATGAGGAATGAAAAGGAATATAAATGGGGGGACGGCAAAGATTGTTTAGATTACCTTATCAAAGGCAGCCAAGCTAAACTCGCATGTGAATAACCTCATGATTAAATCCTATCTCGCCTAACCTCACAAAATACCGCTAATTCAAATAATTTAAAAATTAAGCTTGATATTCTATAAGGATAATTTTTGTTCACAAACAAAGTTTAGGTGTAATGAAGAATATAAATTTAGCTCGGGATAAAAGGAACAGCAATTGGGGTTCCCACAATTAGTGAAACCATGAAATAATATAAAATAAAGATGTAAGCGTTCAATCCTATATTTCTATTCGTTAAAATTATATTTTGAGGCAGGAAAAAGCCGTAAAAAATTACAACTTACTTTAAAAACAGTCCATTTCTCACACTGTAAAATGTAAAAAAATGTAAAATAAATTTATCCTCATACGCTTTAAAGAAACAGAAAAAAATTAAAGCCCTTGGTAGCTTTTGAGGCTGTTTAAAAATGACAAAAAAATCGATATTTTATTCAAAATAATTGGATTGAATTTCTTTATTTTTTTCGGCCAGGACAAAATGAATATTATATTACGCTTATTTATTCATTGAAACGTCAGTAAGTTTTTTCATCTTTTCACGGTGTATAATTTACCTTTTCATCATTACTATTCATTGAACCTTTGCCAGGAAATAATATATAATTAAACAAATACAACCGGGTGAATCTATTTTCTAGATGGCAATTAACTTGTGTACTGTTGCCCATCGCTCGCCGTATAAAACCAACTGAAAGTGAAAATGTTGAAGCTTTCGAAACGCCAACGATAAATGGTAAATAATAAATCCTGCAACAGTGATAGAAATAGAAAGAATCTCAAGTGGGAAATGTAAAAAAACGTTTTCAAAGAAACCTTTCAGTTTTCAGAATAGAATAGCGAAAGTGCCTTCAAAGAACCGGCCAAGTTGATGGCTTCAAGAGCAAACACGTCTTATTACTGAACGCAAAACAAAGCAAATACACCCGTCTTATCTTTAATTACATTAAAAACGAATTATTACGTTGTACGCCATGTCCAGTCCGTCGTTCTTTAAATATAAGCTCAAAAAAAAAAAAAAAAACTAATGTGTTTTAATCGAAGACGAGTGCCTTTTTACTCGAAAATGGCTCTCTCTGCAACCACGATATCCTTTTAAACCTCGAGCTATAAGCACAGTAACACCCGTCTTCTCGTTAATTCTATTAATAAGAACTTATCACTAAGATTTAAAACGTTTAGTTGTTCTTTACATCTATATACATAAGTGTCAAGGACATTTCAAATATCTTTTATCCGGTTCTTTTTAACATGGAAATATCTTCTATTTTTCTTTCGTGCTTGATAGGACACATCACATGCACACGCCTCCTGATGGACATTGTTAGAGCGGTCGTTATCGTCGTATTATCGAGTAATCCGGATAGAATCAAAGTTAAACCTCGGGGTCTGTCTGGCGGATGCAAAAAATAAAAATCTTCATGGGAGTCGAATATAAATTATAAAAAAACTTCCTTTTTTCGTTGCTCAATGTCCCTTTTTTTAATCAACCTTGAGTTCCTATTTTATCAAGAATGTTTCTTATCCCTTGGTTTGATTGCAGCTATAATATAAACGCGCGCTGATTGGCTAAACTCAATCACTTAAGGAATCTCATTCATAGAAATTTATTTATCATTAATTTTGTTCGACCGCCGTTTCTGTCATCGTCAGCAGCTGATCACACTGCAAGGCCCACGTACCACTGACCATCAGCATCAACCCCTCTACAACTTTGAAAAACATTACCATTAAGCAAAAGCGCGCCAGCATTAACATCAACATCCTGAACAGCCCCACCCTTAGAACCATATGCTGAAGCCCCACCATCAGCAGAGGCAGTATTAATGTAAATGTCATCCGCCATTAGCACCGGCATTCACCATTAATAGCTGCAGGAACCTTACCTCTAAATACGATCATCACCCGCCAACAGTATGGCACCATTAGCGCCAGTTTAGCTTCCTGGGCCCGGTTGAGTGGATAAGTCGATGCTGTTATCGGATAAATCCTATCCACTGGATAGGATTTATCCTTTGAATAGGCTTCGTACAACCAGGCCCAGGTTTTTTAGTAATCATTAAAGAGTTTACTGGAAAGCATCTGGTTTCCGTACCGTTTGCGGGAAGAACAAACACTATTCTTAATCTTTTTGTAATATGATTTACCCCCGCACACGTTCGCAGAAACTGAACAAATTACAAAACTGATCAACTCAATGCAACACAACAAAACCAAAAATACAATAATATACATACAAAATTTAACCAAAAAACATTTTGGGTTAGGTTCTTAGTAATAGTAATAGTAATAGTCGTGATTAACTGTACTTTCCTAAAGTGTATTTTACATCTTTTTTTTTTTTTTTTTTTTAAATCTTCTTCGTTTAGTGGAATTAAAGAAGGAGGTCAAGGAGTCTTGCATGACAGGGGAAAAAAGTAAATGTAAATTTATCAAATACCTGTCTAGCACCAAAAAAATGACCAATTAATCCGACTATTTTCATTGTTTTAGGATTTCCTGCCTTCGGAACGATACAGGATGCAACAGATTAAAAGAAATAATTCATAACAAGTAATATTAAGATTCTCAAAGGAAATTCATTACAGGCAACATAAGTATTCCAGTTGATTGTACAGTGACGAAACTTTGAACCGTGAGGACTTTGAGGATGTTTTTTTTCCAGGTTTTTATATATTTTCTCGAACTTTCCACTGTTTTAGACTCCCTAAAATGAAGCATTTAGTTCAAATACACCGAGTGATCAAAATAAATCTTATTTTCAATCGACTAGCTCAAGGGTTAATTTACAGTACGCATTTTTTTTAAGTGGGGGAAAAAAGTGGAAGTGTTTACGGTGTGAGTGTTTTCACTGTAAGCGCTGGTTTTGCTTTCAAAATTGGAAGCAAGAAAGTGAAGCTGATATCATATTTGCATGACTGAATATTACTGCTAGATTTTCAAGTATTTTTTTCTTTTGTGATATATGGTAGAATATCGGGGATTAGAGTTCCGTCGGTTAGAATGGAGCCCAATTTTAAGATGGCAGCAATTTAGTTTGGTCTACGATACCGCCACTTTTTGATATCGGTTATTCGGTTCAACACAAAGACTAGCAAATATTTATGCTATACCGCATGGAAGGTAATTGAAAGTGCAAAGAAGATCGGAAATTGAAGGCTTTATTTGATTTTTCTTGATTTAGCATCATTGCAACATGTTTTTACGCAATCGAAAATCGTGAATACTACGCATGCGCGCTGCCCGTATAATGTAGAAATCTCCAATCTCGTACCCAGAGCCTTTATTTCTGACTGCGCATAGTCGACAAATTAATTTTTATTTCACCGAGCATGCGCAGTAAGAAATAAGGACTAAACCAAGCCCGGAGGTTACCACTTTTCCAATCAGAATATACTGTCCCATTGCACGGTCACGGAACGTCAAATGAGTCAGTATTATATATTTTCACAGTGGTACGTGCTGCATTAGTATCAAACAGCGTTCAATATTGGGAGAAGGCGATGACCAAAGGGAACGCGGGCTCGATTCAAAACAAGTATAAAGCGAGTGACTCGTTTTAGTATATTCTACAAAATAATTTTGAATAGGCCACGTTCGAGATATTACAATTCTAGTACTTTAACGAGGCTCTCTGGAATAAAAACGTTTCCTATCGCATAATCCCCATCAATGGAGTGCTGTAGATTTGATTATAATGTTTGTTGAGTGGTAAACTGACTAGCATTTCTACCAAAAGTGTCTTATTATTAGTAGGAAGTACAAGTTCGCATATAGTACATTATTTTCAATCTTACCAATAAAAGTATTTGGTGATCCACGTGTTTGTACTGACCGTCAATGAAGTACCATATTCAAGTCATATTCATATTCAACTCTGGAGTTCATGTTAAGATATTGAACGTGGCCTATTAGAATCATCAATCATTGTGGAGAAACAAGGCAGATTCAAGTCGTGCTGTAAAGCACACTTCTCATAAATGTTTTGATTATATTACTTTCGTCTGTCTCAGATTCCCATTACTAGTCTAAAGTGTTATTATTCCAGTCCTGCATGGCAAGGTCACTATATGACACTCACTTTCACGTGAACACCCCTAACGATCGACAAGCCGGAAGTACCAGTAGACAAATGAAAGAGGTAGAGTACGTAAGCGATGAGTAAAAGCTTGACAGAGTAGGCCGCGGGTTTGGTCAGTAATAAGTAGGGCTAACTTTATATCATTTAAGTTAATATCCTCAATTTTTTGCCTTCGTAGCCTCTAACACATACCATTAAGAACTCGTTTAAAATGAAAAAGATGATATTGTTTCGTTCTTATTGCGTACCCTGTATCTGATGGACGCAAACCGGTTCAATTTTCAACGACTTTACTAGACTAAGCTCTCGTCTCACCGAAAGGCTTATATGATAAAAGAGTTTTGGCGGCCGGATGAAGAGCAACTCTTAACTGTAAGTACACTAAGTCTCGGCTTCAATCCCGGTTTAATCCAAACCGCATAGTTCAATGCCCACATTTTTGTTATTATCAATATTTTTAGTCACATTAACGTTTGTTAGAATATTTGTTTTTGAACTAGAGCTTGACATTGTTGAAGACTATTAACTTCTGTCTACCGAATTTGAGTGCTAATTTGCACGAAAAGTTTAGATTACCAGTCTAAAAATAACAAGTCTTGCAAACGAATAACAAGTCTGTTAACTTCTGTCTACCGAATTTGAGTGCTAATTTGCACGAAAAGTTAAGATTAGCAGTCTAAAAATAATAAGTATTGCGAACGAATAATAAGTCCTGCGATTTCATGCAGAGCGTAAAGCGAACTCCGCCGACACTACGATTAACTTGCTATGAATATATCGGCTCAATTGATACTAAATATTTATGGTTATGCTAGCTCTCGTGTCTAGTTTTCAAATTATTTCTTATTTTTCATCAGCTAGCTTGAGGTGGGGGGTTGAAATCATTAACTTGCTAGCTTCAATATCCCTAAAGCCATTGTTTCGTTATCGTTTATTTATTTATTTTGTCCTCGAGGTAGGTCATGACGTTGTTGTTTTTCTTATCAAGGGTTCTTACAGAGGGTTTAAAGATTTCCTTTATAACACAGCCGGACTATTAATAGTCGATGCTCTCCTCAAGAAAGTCGCACAAAACAGGCCGAGAGCGCGCCTTCGACAACCTTTAACTCAAACCTCAACCTAAAATCATGAAAAACAATTAAGAATTTAAAATATTTCTTGCAAACAGCCAAATACTAAGACCACGTAGAAGGTAAAGTACTTTAAGACTGAAAGTAGGAGAGCGCAATCACTTTCAAAAGAGTATTGATTCCGTTGCGATCCTACCCTGGTTTCCTATGATAACGAAACCTACGGCCGAGAAGCACTGGAGCGAGCGAGCCTCTGGAAACCAGGCAATCCGCCCAAGGATACTAAAAGAAAACGGCGGGAAAATAATCAGGGTCGCACATTATCGTTGATCAAGAAAGAGATAATCTTTCACGCAGCATGTTATTTTGAGCAGCTTTTCAAAATGACAGGGAAAAGACAACAACAAAAAAGCATCACATTCTTAGATTGTGTTGCGTACGTAGTGATAGTACACTTGTCTCACTGCTCTGGGCATCGACGAAATTTGATCTGATTTTTTTTCTTTTTTACCGAGAAGTAATAGATTGAGATCCCTGTGTCAAAAATATGCAGTGTAGGACTGAGCAAGATGGGGGAATTTAGAAGAGTCGCAATGAAAGAAAAAGACGACGAAATCTTCTCTCTGACTTTTGAGCAAACATACAATTGATGAATATGAGTCGGCGCAGCGTAAACAAAAATTTATCAAATTTATATTTGATTCTTTTAAATAGTTTATTGTGATCGATGATGTTTTAATCCGATTAAGAGAACGTGTTGGTATTTCGCTATAAATCCACGCAAAGTCAAGATGCTTATTTGCGCGTCAGTGCCGTCGGAATGAAATCAAATCTAAAGTTTACGCTAAAGTTGGATTTCTTTTTAGATAAAAGACTGGCCTCCGTGTCGCTGCACTTCACGTATGCATTCCGGTTCTAAATCTAAGCCATATGTTCGCCAGACATTGAAAAACTAGGCATTTGATCTATTCGATTTATTGACTCCTGTTATTCTCATATCACATCTGTAAATGTCGTTCACTTTTGGAAATTTCAATCTCTTTTTCAGATGAATTCATTCTCGATATTTTTGTGAATAGTTTTATTACTTTTTATTTCTGTACTAGTAGTAGTGCTTGTAGTATTTGTAGTAATTAACTTCATTATTAGTTTTGCAAATCATCTGACGTGATTTGCCAATAACATCTTGTAGATATGTAGACGAGAGCAAATACGGAAACCGTGCCGTCATTCAAACAGTCGAAAGTATTCCACTCTCGTATAGCATTATACAATCTTGTCCGGCTTTTACCCACAGAAAGCTGGCAAATTTCCCACGTATTCTTCCCAAAAACAAACCAATCATTATTCCTGGAGTTGGTGACTTGCTCAAAGTCTTGGTATATTCCGTGATTCGATAGAATTCCTAGCCATTTGTTCTACCTCTTCATTAACGACATAAAATGTCAAATGGATTAAGTATCCCCAAACTCAAGATAAGCCCTAAAATCAAAGGGGGCAGCAGTCAGTCTACTTTGATGTCATTCTTTCTCTGTCTGAAGTAGTCTCGCATGTGATTGGATCGTTGTAGTTCTGCGTGTCTTTAAACGTAATGAGAAGTCTATTAACACCTAATACAACTGGTAGTTTTCTATTTCCAGTCTAATTAACGCCGTGTTTACGAAGAGTCAGGGCCCATTCATCACAACTCGCCTTCCTGACACGCGTTAGACATAATAGTCTTCAGACTTCGACTTGGTTGTTACACTGGGGTTTAAGCTCGTATTGGACATACCTTTGGTGTACTGCAGAATTGTATGAGAATATCTCGATACAAATAGTGACAAAGTACGATTATTCCAATGTTGTTTCAAGGTAAGCTTTACCTTAAAGTACGAAGTTTAAATCCTCGTTCTCTTGTATTAGAGAACTTATATCTCTAAGCTAGTTTTTTGTTTAGCATACTTTTGCCAGCTAGGAATAACAATAGAGAATTCGAATTCCATTTCACATCCATCTTCATTTCATCACTGGCCAAAACTGCCTTTCATAAATTAGATTCATTTGAAAGAACGCCAAGCCTTGCTCGATAAAATACGATACTTCTTTTGACCATCCAGAAATATTTTAAGCGATTTTTGATGACTTTTCCATATCGCTTATTTTTAGAGAAAAAACAATGATGGCGCTAAGATCAACCCCGGTCGTATCAAGTAATGGATATCGGATCTCAAATCGTTTAAGCAGGTTTCTTGCATCGAGTTTACTTTATGTATATATACTAAAGCCCACAGGCCTTGAAGTTCTTAGAAACAAGTAAACGCTGTTTTTCTCGGCTCAATAAAAGAACAAACACTTGAATTAATGTCTTAATATTCCAAGTTATCAAATTAGCGGAGGTTAAAAGTCTTCAAATTTTATATATATCTTACTGAGATACGGACTCTTGATTCCAAAGGCCACAAGGCTACCATAAATAATAATAATAGTTTGTTTTTATACTTCGAACAATCCGATACTTTGTGTTGTTTACTTGTTAGACTAACATTCCAATGTTAGTTTTGCGATAAGGTAAGAATTTCGAACAATTCATGTTGAAAGTCCCGTTTACGTCCAAATTTGACCTTAACGGCTTGAAATATTTCCCGTAAGCCAAATAATATTTAATCTCCTTTAGTTTTAAGAGGATGACACTCATACGGTTCTTTCTTATATTGTTTGTGGGAGTGCAAGCCTCCCAGTTTGCTTCGGGGTTTACTTGGGGGTCCGTGTGGAAAGTTGCGGGGCGGCAACCGTGGTGATCTCGCTCGTGTCCTGTCAGTTTTGAGTTATAACTGCGCGCGCAGACATTCTCTCTATCTATCTCTATTTTCTGACATGTCGGATTTTCTAGCTTTTGATTGGTTTGCAGCGTGCGAGGAACCCATTTTAGTGTCTGTTAGCGAGACGACATTTTTTTAAAATGTGTATCCTCGTCAAATTCACTTCAAACCCACAACTTTATTATCACACAGTAATTCTTTGAATACAAGTTCCTTAGGAAGACAGCTCTTTAATAATTATTTGTCACTATCCAATACTGATTAAATCTCAAAGGTAAATGGTAGATATTGCCTTTTATCTAGTCAAACCTCTGCCGGTGATGAAGACATATACCTTGGTGTCACCGGTGATGTCATATTGATGACACGGCAGATTACTGTGACGTCTAACTCAATACTAAAGACCTCTCAAAGTAGGAGGCTTTTGACCTTGTTGCTCTGAGTCCCCACCTAATCCTAAATCCGTTCCAATGTGCCACTTATAGGTCATGTGACCGCCACCCGGTTAGCTCAGTTGGTAAGAGCGTCGATCTGTTGTGCGGAAGGTCGTGGTTCAAGCCTCGGCCGGGCCAACACTCAGGGTGGTCTTAAAATAACTGAGGAGAAGGTGCTGCCTTTGTAATTACATCTGCAAATGGTTAGACCTTCAAAGCTTCTCGGACAAGGTCTTAAAACCGTAGGCCCCGTCTGTCTTCACTATATAAGGCGGACGTAAAAAATCCACTGAAGACGTTGGTGACGACCATCTTCAGTGCCCGTGCTAAAAAACTCGAGGGCCACAATTTAATCAGTTAGCAACTGCCACGTGTACGTCACCCTCATTAAATGAWGTCTTCAATCAATCAATCATGTTCGCCATGTTGGATGGCACAATTGGGACTTTGAGGCCTTTTGGAAGCACGCGCAATGCAATATAAAATAATGGAATGGATTGGTTAATAATTTGATTCCAGGCGAAGTTCACGGTTTTTTTTGTAACTACTGCCTGAAAGGCGTAGGAGCTGCGAATTTTTTTTAATAAGTTAAAGGCCACCCTGTAACAATTGTTCTAATTTATCTATGACTTATATCCCGCCCTGATCACACTGAAGCATATGTTGCTCATCTGTTTCGTACTGTGTTTGACAGGCGAGTGCATAACATTCTGGTTTGTCGATCGTTCTTCTTTCGGTCAGAAGGTCAGGGATCTTTAAGTTCAATCATTGAAATAATATGGGCACCCAAGAGACCAGAGAGAAAGTGTCCTCTGTAACAAGGTGTCCGTAAGAATGAGTAAACGCATTTATCGCCGAAACAAAAACAAGTTTCCGTACTGATACCGTCCGTTGAACGAGGGTTGAACTGTAAAAGTACATGTCAATTCAATCGATCTTCCAACATGGTTAACGGACTCCCTGCCTGAATGTGTAATCATATGGGATTCCGCTAATGTATTCCGCTACAGAAAAACTAATTTTAACGATCATCGTGAACTAGCTAGATTATCATTACGGAAAGGTTAATTTTGATCTCAGTGAAGAGCTACTTATCTTCTATTAGAAGCTTAAACTGCTTATATATATAATGGCAGGATTTAACTATCTAATAGTTATATAAATTTAAACGTTATTTCAAGAGTAAACCCCTGATTATCCTCGCCATTTGTCTGAAGATGATCTCGAGAACTGAAAAGCGATAATAAGCACTTAGCACCAGAATGCGAAGAAGGATACTTATGTAACCACTTCTGAAAATGACCTTACAGAAAGATGTTAAACAGACGCTCAATTTGTGGACTGAATCCAACATCGATAAACATTCTTTACTAGTCGTTATTATTGGAAAGTCCTTAAGTTTTGGCTGCGTGTGCTTTTATGGATGAGATAACTAGAATTGATAAAGATTACCTAGCTTTTATCAAGCGTTTCATTCTGTTCCATTAAGTACATCTACATCTACATTTATCAAAGTCCATCTGAAGGGGTACCCATCACTGATGGACTATACTAACTCGTTTACTGTTCGACGTCATAATAAAAAATTGGAGAGAATATCTTCAGCATTCCCGCCTCTTTTTGCGTGCTGCCGGCAACGGATTGAAAGACGAGAGGTTTTACGTACGGTACTGTGCAAGTTAAGAGTGAGAAAAACAAAACGAATCCTATATGGTCTCTCCTCTTCGCTTTATCGTAAATTAAAGTGGCAATTTATCATTTATGACATCTTGTGATGAGTCTTTTGATAGAACTCCTTCACGTTGATCTGGGATTTGTGGTCCTAGGATAAAGAATTAAAAATGCGCGCACTCTTAGACTTGGAAAGTACTGGTTTACTCAACGATTTGTAACATTTTTAAGCGTTCTTTTCTGCAAATGCCTCGTACTTTCGCTTGTGAGCTATTTCAGTGAATTTCAGTGTACGTGCCTAACGCGTGATGTTCTTACTACAACTACTCTTGATAAGAACTTAGTTCAAAGGCCTTTATGCTTTGCGAAGGCAGATACCATCTTGGACTTTCGCTTGTCAGTCGAACCTGCATCTTTAGTACAAGCGCAAGGGCCTAAGCCTGAGGCTTTGATAGCAATACTTAATCCTTGAAGATGTCGAATCAAGAAAAATCTGACATCTCATGAACGAATGTTCTTAAGACTGCTGCGTTCTGCTTTCCGTTAAATTGATTAAAAATAAATTGTTCAAAGTCACTACGTGTAAAGTAATTTACATGTGGTAATTGTACAATGATAAGGATCTTGGAAACTATCAAAATCTGGGCGAATAGAGTATCATGTATGTGTAAGGATTTCTGTACGTGTAGGCTGGCTAAGTGCTACAGCACCATGCTAACAACTGTATAGAATCATGCTTAGAATTTTGACTATAGGATTAAAACTGAACAGTTTTTTTGCAGGCAGAGGTTGAAAAATATCATTGCAATTTTTTTAGGTGTTGAACTGATAGCTCAACTGAAATTTGTTTAAAAAGAGAGGACGAAAGCTTGTGTAAAGATCTTGATAAAGGTAAGACTAAAGAATGTGCAAGGTGTTATGTGTTCAAAGATTTGTCTACTCATTTATCATTCTTATTATATATACAGTTTATCGCGCTTAACATAAACCGATCGCCTGCAGGCCACCATCACATTCATATAAAAAGATTGGTATTTTTCTTTTGAACTTGCGCATCGAACAGTCGAACGCTTTTACCGGCTTTGAACACCTGTATTCAATTTGTTTATTTTCGACGCAATTGAAGCCTTGTATAAGACGATAACTTGCGTATATATATATATATATGTTGTGCGAGATTAGAAATAGCGCCTGTAAAGTGCCACAAGGCACAAATAAACGCTATTTTTAGGGCGCATTTAGGTTACCATTCGATTAATTATACAACGTTTCATAACCGAGCAGTTTGTGTAAAACGGAGTATGCGCAGTGTCCGGCAGACTTGAGTTACGTTCAGTGCTGCGGCAAATAAACTAAGCTTGCAATTGCAAGCGAAACAGAGTGAAACGCCTATAAATTCTTAATATTTTTAGTCAGAAATGCCACGCACACTAAAAAATCAACTAACAAATAGAAAATAAATAAATTGGAAGAATAATTAGGGTTTATAGTCAGAAGCGCTGCACGCCATTGAGCCAAAGCTATGAACGCCCTACTCTTCAGTGGAATCCTCTCTGAAGGAAAAAAAAAGAAAAAAAACACAAAAATTTAAAACTGTATTTTCTCATTCTTAAAATAATTTTTACGACATATTCTGCAGGTCCAGTCACATCTGAAATTCTTGGGTCTCGTTTTTCCTCGATGCGCAGAGATACACAAACCAGGAACTTCCGGTCTACAGTATCGAGATGGCCCCAACCGAAGCGACGAAAAAGAAGCAGAAGACTGTCCGAAAATGACACGAAGCTGATTAAAGAAACAAAGTAAGGAATATTTTATCCTTAAATTCTTAGGGGGTATATATTAAAGACATTAACGGTCACGTGTTGAAATTGTTTTTGCTTTTGATCTCGGCAAATCAATTGACAATCACCAAGCAACAACAGTCTTGGTGACGAAATGTGAGGTTATGTGATGAAGACACACTTGATGCTTTATTAATAGCAGATTTTTTTATTTTTGTGCTGGAGTTCTAGGTTATCGTTATCATTTTAGTTTATTCAATTAGTATTATTGAATTAAAATTACCTATGATTGGTCGGTGGTTTTATCGCGAATCGTCTGAAAATATTTGAGCGCAAAACTGAATTACCAGAAGCACTCCTGAACTGTAATACACCGCGTAGCAAGAAAATAGGTAAAATATTCGAGTTTTTTATTTGGCAGACGCACTGAGTAGAAACATGTAGTCCTTAACCGGAAGTTCAAGTCTTTGGAAAGGAAATCCAAATTAGCGCGTTAGTATGAACAGACTCCTCCCTCAGATATGTATTGGTCTTTTAACCGCTTTTATATTCCCGACTTTTGCGTTTTACTTTATACTGCTTGGACAACACAAGGCTACGTGCTCCTAAAATCAACCATTTCCGTCTAATACCGGAAGTATAATCCCACAGTTGGTCTAGCCATTACCGGTCAACTACCATGGGGATTTTATCGGAATTCTTGAACAACAATGTATTTATTGAGCCGCTCTTTACGAAGAATTATCAGCGCCATTTTAGTTATTATTCCTAGATTAAGCAAATTCTTCGAGTTTTGTTTAGGAATTTTTTAAACATGATTCATACGATGAAGTACAATATGACCGAGGATTAGATATGTCAACAATTAGTAAGGCTTTTTCACGCTATTTTGAACCCAAAAGCCTAGGAAATTTTGCATTTTTTAAACCCTTTTAGTTAACTATTATGTCATAAAAGGATGTAATTGTAATATTTAATTCGTATGTTATTTTTTGGTTGTTTTCTGGTTGCTTTTTTAAGGGTGATTTTTCGGTATTTTTATGATATTTTTGAGGGGTAGTGTTGTGGGAGATTGGGTCTGAAGTAGAAGGGTTCCCGGATGCAAAGGCAAAACTAAGATGGCGGTCGCTTTGAAGAACAAAATCGAAATAACAACATGAAACACCCGAAGGAATTTAAGCTTTACTCTTAAAATGTACCAAGAATATCACGACCATGACCACCGAAGATATCAACGAGACTACTGCGATCCTCAAGCGGAGTATTACGATCATTCAGTGCAGTTTCGAGACCAAAGGGACGAGTTTGAATACTCAGACGACGACGAGTCGTACGTATTTTAAATCTTTGCATGAAACCTTTAAAATTTCCTACAATTTTAGCGGATTGTCGTCATATAAACCTTTAAGGATGTTAAATAATATAAACGCTAATAACTGACTTTATGAAAGAGGATTATTTTTGCATAAGACAAATGTACTCTTCGTCTCCCAGTCGTTGTAGTTTGAGTAAATTTTTTAAATAGCTGCTAAAATTTTGCAGCACCATTCGTATTTTTAAACTATATTTTCTTAAGAAATAAAGAAGGGAAAATTCTGATTGAACCCGTATGAAAAAATACATAAAAAGATAATACCTACGTCTATCTAGGATTCACAGTGACTGTAAAAACTTTATGGCATTGAGATTGTCTCAATCGACGTAGAGATTTGTCTAAACTATTTTGTTTAAATTTCCAACGCTAAAACTTCTTTGAACTTCATTCTCAATTTATTCATTAGTGTTTTTTTAAATCAAATTTATGATATTTTTTGATACTTGAACGTGTTCTTCACATTTCTTCACGTTTGAGTAGTAGATAAACAAAGCAGGATCATGTTTTGAAGATACTTTACTCCACAAAACAAAAGATGTAATGCGATCCTTCCTGTAACGGCAATTCAAATTTTTAAAGTATATTCTAATATATATTTATATTTTCTGTCGATGCTTTATATTAGTTTCCCTTGTACTGTTACTCAATATATGAAAATCCTTACATAGCTGCAGATACGTTACAAAGGCATTATTTTTGGATCAATCATTTTTTGAAACCATTTAAGGTTGCAGATGAATGAATTATTCATATACTATTTTTATCTTTTTCCAGGTTTGAGGAACCTCCCTGGGCAGGGCAGGTCCAGGACAAGGGTGACCTTTTCTACATCGAACCTTTTAGAGAATCATCATCTCCTCCTTCGAATGATCTTGAACATCTACAGATAAATGGAGAGATCCCTAGCAAGGACAAAAACAATGCTGTCTTTAAAAAATTAACAAGTGTGAAAAGAATTCTACCGAGCTTACGGAAGGACAAAAATGATGATAAAAAAACTGACCAGAGAAACAATCTCAAGAACAGCTTAACAGCTGATGGACTTGATATGTCGAAAGGAAAAGAAAAAACAAGATCAAACTGTATAAAAAAGGATGTCCATGTCATTGTAACACCACCAAAACTTGGGTCTGGCAGAAATCAGAGCCTAGAGACACTATTGGGGATTATTCCTGGACGAGATAAGACTGGAAGATTGTCACAGAATGATAGTTATTCTGGTTCGAGGATATACATCAAGGGTTTTGTACCTGATGGACCATCTTTGAAGTGTGGAGAGCTTAGAATAGGTGAGGCAAACATGGGGGTCATAATGTTTGTATTACACATGCTGTCACTCAATGAGTGTATCTGATATTGGTCTTTGAGAAATGAGGCGGTAAGCCATGTGGGATGGGCTCGGAAATCATATACATGTAAAAACATGCGTAATAGGTAAATTACGAGCCTTGTATGAAACGACTGAAGAAGAGGGCCAATGGGCCTTTGACAACTTCAAGTTGCATAAAAAATTAGCCAGCTCAACTAGAAACTGTGGCAAGTTGTTTTGGCCTGTATTGGGCCTCATCAGCATGGTTTATCTAGTGAGCTGGTATAATTCCACGAAAAAGTAGTACATGAGAGATGAGGCAGTAAGCCGTGTCATTTTTACACGACTTGAATTTGTTATAGGCCCATTGGCCCTCTTCTTCAGTCGTTTCATACAAGGCTCGTAATTTACCTACATTATTACGCATGTTCTTATATGATACTGATCTTTGTTGGGTGTTGGAGTGGGAGGGAGAAGACTGCAAAACCCAAGTGCATCCAAGAACATATACGACAAGGGAGGGAAACAAGTCGTCAAATGAACTCACACTTCATTACTCAAGATGAATGGTAAAGCCATGTCCACTTGGATGGATCCATAGAGTTGATAAGGTCAACAACTTTTTATCTCTTATAATGCCACTTCTGTTCTATATCCTTATTTTTTGGAAACTAGGTGATGTGATTCTTGCTTTGAACAAGCTAGATTTAAACTCTAGTAATGTACACACTATACTTGCAGCCATCACAGGACCTATGGAGGTAAGGTCTAAATTTGTTATTCTAGATCTGTGCATTCAGAGTCGACTAGATTATGTATGTCTGTGAATTCCTAGACATTGAAGTGCTACAACCAGGACAGCACTGTGTCTCACAGATCAGGGCTTTTAGAAACAATTACTGTTCATCGGACAATGTCAAGCCAGTGTTGAAACTTGTCCAGTTAGGTAAATCTTTGCTTTGCTGGTAATTTTGACCAGAAATGAGGTATGGCCGTAAAACAACTTGGCTGGTGATTGTGACAGGCTATTATTTTAAGCCCTACAGATATATTCTAAGCTCTCGCATCAATTCCTGTTTTATGAGCAGGTTGATGTTATGATGGTGTTAAGTGTCATTTCTGTATATTTTAGATAATCCTCACAATACAGAGGTTTAATCAGCCTCCCACACCAGTCATTTCATCCAATACACCAACCAAAGATGACAGTCATTTGATACAGTTGATAAGTGGACAGCCTAGTGTGCAACCTAGACTAGATCTGAGAGGATTGCCTCATCTTGTGATGTATCTTAGCATAACAAGCAGTGAGGATGATGAGCCTAATAAGGTATGGCTATACAGTACCATGCTACAGATAATGATAATGAACTTAAATTTTGGTGGAGACCAAAGAGGTGAATGCAGGGAAGGGCCAGATCATAAAAATTTCCCCTCCCAGGCCCCACCTCTTTCTAGGGATTCAAACTACATGTATAGATTAGAATTTACCATTGTATTTTCTATGCATTTTTAGGACATACTCTACCAATATCCTATGACAGAAGAGGCAGCTAGTTTGTTGGCTGTAAGAGGTGTGTTTCTAACTCTGAGTGATTTACTGATATCTGTGACTGGAGGGCATGCTCAAAGGTAAGATATGGACAAAGTTATTGGACACTGCTGAAACTAAGTTAGATGATTTTAGAGATACTAAAAACTATATCTTTATTATTTACTTCAGTTCGACTTTGATGCTAAAGAAAAAACTTGTCAATATCGGCTACTACAAGAGTGGGAAACATGTTCTTATCATCTGTTTGCCATCAGAGAAGTAAGTAAGGGAATAATAGACCTACTTGGCTCAGGTGTGCTCAGGCATAATGTTTTCACATTCTAGACCACTTGTCATTCCCTAGAGTATCATTTCTTTGTTTAACAGTTGCACTTGGTTGCATATGAGAAGACACATGAATATGGATACAACTCAAAAAAGGATCTTATTTTGAAGAGAATGACACATGGTCTGAAATGGGAAAATATTACACCCGAGCCAAGGAGGTCTGTTAATAGCATAGACCTGTCAGTTGTGTGTATGCGAAAGGGAAGGATAAGGAGGTAGAAAAGGTGTAGATGGAGAATGACAAGGAAAGAGGTGAAGGTAAAAGAACAGGAGAAGGAAGAGCAGAGGAAAGGAGCAGAATGAGGAGGAGGCAAGCAAGGTGAAGGAGGGGACAAATAAGGTGGAGGAAGAGAAGAAAGAGGAGTTGGGTGAACATTAGTATCTTGCAGCCTCTAATACTATGTTGTTCTTTTCATATTCCAGGGTATCACTTCTACAGCTCAAGAAGCTAATGACTGACATCAGCAGAGTACTTCATGTCATCTTTGGATCTATTGACAGGTAGTAACTGATTTCCTGGAATTTTTCAAAGCATTACTTAGAGCACAGTTGACAATCTATATAATAACTCAAATCTCCATTATCTGTATTGCAGGGCATTTTGTGATGGAGGTAACAAAGGACGACTAGACCACTTTTTTGCCTTGTTATTTGAGAGTACTCTGGGGGCGAGAACTAAAGAGAATACCAGTGTTCATCTGTGTGACTCCTTACCTGGTGTCAGATGGTTGAACCTGCCTACAACAACCATGGTATGTTTCTTTAAGCTTGTGAGCCAGCATTGCACTAATATTTCATACACCCAACCTTTTAAAAAAAGGCTGTTGTAGACAAAGGAGATCCATTGTTGCTTGTAGATTGAGAGAGTCATCTTAAATACCTTGGTTATTCATGTTTAGTCGTATACAAATAATTCCTTTCAATCTTGGAATGACCTATCACCCATTCCCTTTCTCCTTCATTTGGCTTTTTTGACACCTTGTATAGCATTAATTATGGCTGTCCCATCTCACTTGATGTTTTTTTTTTGGTTTAGGTGAACATCAATTGCTGCTTGAGTGAGTTAGAGGCTGCAGATTATGGAGAATTAGTAGATGAATTATTTCAAATTAGAAGACTTTATACAATTTTGGGATCATGCATATTTTATAAGGTAGGGTTATTGTAGTTAAAAGATATATACTATGTAAGTGACATTTAAATTCAATGGGATGTCATTATCTTTTTGAATTGATTTAGGATCCTTTCTTTTGCAGGGGATGCTACTGGCAAATCATTTAGTTTCAGAGGATTTTCAAGATATTTTATTATATTGTAAATATTATTGTTTATTAAATGTTGGACAAGAACAGAGAATAGGACAACTTGTTGTATGGAAAGAGGTTAGTCCATATTCATTCAAGTACAGTGCAACAGTTTTTACTTTGATCATTATCACTTTATTTTCATCGTCATCATCGTCTTTGTCATCTCCACTAGCATTGTCACCATCAACAGCAGAATCATCGTTATTGCTGCCACCAACACCATCAGCTTCATCATCACCCCCACTGACATTGCTAGCATCATTGTCACCCTTACCACTTGCCCCAGCATCAGCATTGCCCCCCACCATTACTGTACAAGCATCATTGTTACCCTCAACACTAGCAACAGTATTATTGTCATGACCCGAACTACCACCACCAACACCAGCATCATCCTCACCCCCACCACCACCACCAGCATCATCCTCACCCCCACCAGCACCACCAGCATCATCATCACGACCACTGCCACCACCACAACTGTCATCATCATATTGCCACTACCATGACAACCATCATCATCTAGAGATCGTTTTATATGTCATTTGTGTTCTTTCTCAGATATTCTTATCAAGAAGACGTCACAGAGACAACAGAACAGAGTACAGGGAGCCTTCTGGCAGACACTTTCTTCTTATTGTGGGACGAGTAAGTCTTTACACTTTCTCTCCTTCCTTTAGAGAAACTTTTAGTTTAACAGCAACTTCTTGTTTTTCTTTTAGAAACACATGTTGTTGTGTGTTTTGCTGGAAGCTGGAGGCATGGCAAGAAAGTAAGAACCAAGTGGAAATACATGTTCTATCAGCCAATTAGTCTTGATATTTAAAAAAAACATGGTCTAACGATAATTGTTTCATTGTGTGTATGTACATGTAGGGCTGAAGGTCATCCTGGTCCAGATTCATATTACGTAGAACAGCTAAAGAACACTTTGATGCAGATAGAAACACTTGATGTGGCATCTGTCTGCGAATCAAGGTACTGTAAAAGATCTGTTATATATCAAAAATTGATTGGTGCATGTGGACTGTCGCTAATTAACCTATGGTATAGTAGTGTGGCCACTCAGAATGCAGGATTGGTACTAATCCACCAGTTTTAAAAGAATGCTAATGATTTATATTTACCACAGCATTCACAGTACGCGAAGCCCACCAATCTCCTCTGCAGATGTTCTGCTGTCATCACCATCATTGACTTCAAACTTGGAACGTAACTCTTTGGGTATAACCATCCCAGGGTCCCCACCCCAGTGGAGAAGGCATGGCAGTCTAGACAGCCTTAAGCTACCAGGTTTGTATATTCTAGAATATCCTATTATTGTCCTTCTTTCCCATTAACACAATAGTAAAGCTAGTTAGGAACAACAGGAAACGTTCTCTTTTATTAATTCAGCATTTGCAGTTGATCATTTCAGACAACCACGCCACCCCCTCCCTCTTGTACGCTATTGTGGTCATATTGACGTTACTACTTTTACGCATTCCCGTTCGCGAAAAAGATAGGAGTCGTTCCCAAGTGTCCTCCCCTTCTCGTAAGGTCGTCGTACCAGATCCCAGTCGTTGAACCTTGAGGTCGCTAATAATATTGAATGGGGGG